AGAAAATTATGCCATTAATATCAGCAGCAAAGGTTTACAGTTGTTTCTGAATACTTCCTTTTATGTCTGGGACAATACTGTCTTTGCTGTTATCCACACAAAATGGAAAATTGTTAATACTTTTTTTTTCCTGTTAGGGGACCTTCCACTGTCTGATGAGAGAGCAAACCTCTGTAGTGATACCGGCAATTCTGATCAAGAGGAAGATGATGATAAAGATGATGTTCAAAGTCAAGGCTCCTCTGCTTCATCAGAGGATTATATCATTATTCTCCCTGAGTGCTTTGACACCAGTCGTCCTTTAGGGGAGTCTATGTATAGCTCAGCTCTTTCTCAGCCCAGTTTGGAAAAGACAGGAGAACCTGAAACAGGAGCAGAGAATCCAGAAGGGGGAAGCCAGCCACAGGTCCCCAGTGTCAGCGATATTTTGACAACTTCACAAACACTAGCTGTAGTACCACTAACCCCAGAGATTGCGGACACCTTACCCCAAACACAAAGGTGGGCTTCTCAGACAGGAACAAAACAGTTGTGTTAGTGTTGCTGTAGAGTCTGCAGGGTGTTGTGCTGCTTGTGTGCAAGTTCGGTGTCCAAACAGAAATTGTTGCAACCAAAGTTTTGTCACATGCTGGAGTGAATGTCCTAAATCCTGCAACTTTCTTTATAAAGCCTGTACCTACTGTGATTAGATGAGTGTGAGAGAGGGAAAGAAGGGAGCATGTGAAGACGTGAAACTCTTTTCTTCAGACTTAACCTACATGTGTACATGCAGAATGACAGTAGTAAAAGTGATTATTTTTTTCCCCCCTCCCCCTTATGTTCTCAGGAATCTTGCATCTCTTCAGAATCATATCTTGCAAGAATCAAACATACCAGCTTCAGAGCATATCTCTTCCACTCCTCATAATCAAATAAGAGAAGGTATTGACAGTACTTAATGAAGGGTGCATCCACAGTTGTTACTGCCTATTCCTTACGCCTAGTATTGGATTTGATGTCTTGTTACTCTTGAGGAGAGCAGAAGTCTACCAAGTAGTGATTGTTTTTTCTCCTGGTGTTGAAATGTTACTATATAGAAGATTTGAATAAAGAAATAATTGGCTTTGTGGATCAGCTAAGAGCATCTATTCATTAGAAATGGTAGGAGGGTACTCAGAAGTGTTTGACATTTGGAAAATTACCTCGCTCTGGAATTAATGAGCTATGTATTTAAGCTGTTGTTACAGTCACTGGGAGCTCACACAGCAGTTCATGTCATGTTAAAGTAAACACCCACTAATCAGCCAAATAACTTCTGAAATTCTTTCTTTTTTTATTATTTTGACTGCAGGGAGAATTCTGTATACCTAGTTTGTGTCTGGATAATTAAACTTGAAAGTATTAATTTTGGACTGTGTCCCACTCCTTTCCATTTATGTACGTGTTGTATCTCTTCAGCTTCTTGTTAACTGGCCGTGTCGATATGGTACTTTTTTCTTCCTATTCCAGAACCCAGTGGTGAAGACAGTCACGGACCAGGATCTTCTGGATTTCTAAGTAGTAAACAGAAGTGCTCAGAATACCCAAGGTAATAAAGCTGAAGCTGTGACTTCACAGATACTGTTTTAAACTAACAACTGCTACATGAGTCCTTGACTGCTTGGCAACAACTAAAATATTAGCATGTTACCAACATTATTCTCATCGTAAATCCAAAACACAGCACTGTACCAGCTACTAGGAAGAAAAATTAACTCTACCCCTGCTGAAACGAGGGCACAGTGCACAGCTTTCATGTGTAGATGTACGCTTCTGGGTGAGAATAGTTAATTCTTTACAAACAGCCATGTTATGGAAAAGCAAACTAATGTGCTTTAGCATAAAACCACAATTTAATAGAAGGTATCAAGAAAGAAGGGAAGAGCG